GAAATTCCAATGGACTCTCATATGAACATTTGAAAATTGTTCTGTTCTGACTTTTTTCTAGTTCCCTGTCTAGAACCTGTAATGCTAATTACTCTTGCCTTTACTTCTCCTTCACATCTCCTATTTATGAGTCAAAGACTTTCTTTTCTCCCTTGAGATAAGAGTTATGCAATTTGGGAGTCTTTTAGATAGACCCACTGAAGGGGTACTCCAATTGCCTCACCCTGCATCCCTGTTCAGTATGGAAGAAGCCAGAGGGTCTGTGTCCTAATTCCCTATTGGCAATTTGAGTAACCCCTTCAGAGGATGGCATGATAAGAATAGGAGGTAGGAATTTACATCTTAAAAATTCAAAAAGAGTTGGGGCCTGGTGGCACACATCTTTAATCCCAGCACTCTGGAGCCACAGGCAGGCAGATCTCTGTAAGATGGAGCCAGCCTGGTCTACATGGTGAGTTCCAGGCCTTTCCAGGCTACAGGGAGACCCTGTCTCAAAAAACCCACCCCCAAAAGTCAGAAAGGATTAATATAGGGGGACAAGTACACCTGTGTCCTAAATGACTGATGCTTTGTATGTATGCACATAGTTTCTCTTCCTTGACTAACAAGATATTCCAAAGGACTCAAAGAGAAAATGGCACCGGATCCTCAGCACTGAAGGCCTTCCATTCACTGACACTAGCTCTCAGTACATTCACAAAACATCTACTTCACAAATGTGCCTGAGATCTCAGAGAGCAGAAGTTCCTGACATGAAACACATACCAAAAACCCCACAATCACATACCTGGACCAAAAAAAGTCCTAAATGGGTAGTAACAACCTTTGGGCTCGTCAGCTAGTTCTCCTGGGATGCTGTGTAAATGGAGGTAGGTAGAAATCCTGCTAGCCTGAATGGCCACCAAATTGCCACCAATACCTGAAACATGGGGAAAACAAACAAGTTATCCTTGTATTTTAAACAACTTTACAAATTCAGCCCAAACCCAGCCTCTTCGTGTCACATTCTAGACCAATAAAACAAAATATTTTCTAAAATGTAGATTTCTTTAATGTTGAAGTAGCTATTCTACAAAATCACTGTTATAAAAAAATTCCTTCATTATTTTTCAAATCCAATTGATGTGAAAACCAACCAGAATGAGTAATTTTAAAAAGCCTTCTTGTAATCAATATACAAAATCAGGTGATGAGATGTTCATGTTTATTATCTTAATGAAAGGAAAAATGAGTTAGATTTATTCAAATCCACAGGGCTTGGTACTTTTCTCAGCTTACTAAAGAAACTGAACTAAAGCACTGAATAAAATTACTCAGGAAAATTGCATCTTCAACCGAGAAAAATCTCATTGGCTCTGAAGCAGAAGAGTCAATGCCAAGGCCTCTGAAGGACAATCAGCCCTGGACAGGACACTCAAAGCCTTCTTTTACAGAGTGAGAAAAGGCAGCAGCCATACAAGCAAGGAGGAGAAAACTAACACAGATTTCAAATTCTTCCACGTTGAGTGTGGGCCATGTAGCCTGTGAGAGAAGCTGGAGTCCCAGACATGTGGAAGCCATGCTCACTTGCCAAAACTTTCCATAAACCTAGACTGAGGTAGGTTGAGAGACTTGAGAACCAAGCATACTGGACATGATCTTGCCATTTGCTGACACAGTGCTATACAATCCCTCCCTCACATGAATCAAGAACCCAATCCCAGGTGTGCTGGACAGCTTTAGCATCAACTTGACACACCTGGGTTGAGGGAGCCTCAATTGGGGAATTGCCTCCATAGGACTAGCCTGTGACAATGTCTGTGGGGCATCTTCTTGATTGATTGAGAGATGCTCATAGTCCTCTGGAACTTAGTCAGCATAGGAGGGCAAGGAGCAAAAACTGCCCTTCATGTCCCTCTGACCAAATTAGTATAGGCCTCAAAGCATGGCTCTTAAAACACCCAAGAAGGTTAGTTCCACCAGTCCATACTTTTAATTACCATTGCTATGTACATAAAGCTTGGGCAAAGACCAAACATTCTCAGATAAACCTTGCCTAGACATATATTATATTCCTTGAGCTAGTTGTTCCTTGAACTAATTGTGTGTATAATTTGTCAATAGGTTATTGGACTAATATGATTCCCTCTGATTTTTTTAAAACTAGGTAGGCTTTATCTCTCTCATTGTCTAACCCTTCCACCATGATTTCCCCATTTAAAGTGCCCCATTTTTCCCATTTCTCCCTTAATAATACCCTTCTCCTATGGTCCCACCTCTCTTGAGCTCCTTCTTTCCCTTTATCCCCAAGCTTCCTTATATAGCCCTCACTCCTCCTGCCCCTTAAAATAACCCCATTTTTATCCATATCTCCCTTATTAACATCTATTTTCTACTGTTCTTCTCTTTCAGATTCTGTCTTTTCCTTCACCTCCCTGGTACCTTTTCATTATCCTGGTTCCTGTAATTATGTCTGGATATATACTCACTTTAACAAATTAGAAAAACTGGGGCTAGAGAGATGGCTCAGGGGTTAAGAGTACTGGCTGCTGTTGCAGAGGTCCTGGGTTCAGTTTCCAGCACCTACAGGGTGGCTAACAACCATCCATAACTCCAGTTCCAGGGGGTCCAATGCCCTCTTCTGGCCTCCACAAGTATTGCATGCACATGGTGCACACACAGGCAAAACACTTAAAACACTTAAAAATTTAAAAATTAGAAACACTGAAAAATATAAAGAAACAGTAAAGTTTAAAACTTGTGGTCAACAGAAGATACTTTAGGCTACAAACTAAAGAAAATCTTTGCAGCACATCCAACTATCAAAGGACAAGACTAACAAAACGATAAGCAAAAAAAAGGACAAAAGATTTGGATAATTCACCAAAGAAGTTAATCCAGGGGCTGGAGAAATGGCTCACTGGGAAAAAGTGCTTGCTGCAGAAACATGAAGATCTAAGTTCCAATCCCAACACCCAAGTACAAAGTTGGGCACATGCCTATATTCCCCCGTTCGGTGGGAAGTGGCAACAAGTGTATCCCTGGAGTTTGCTGGCCACCTGTACAGCCCCAGGTTCAGTGACAGACCTTAGCTCAAGAGAGTAAGGTAGAAAGTGATAGAGCAGGACACCCAACATCCTCTTCAGGTTTCCTTATACACACATGGACATAAACACACATACACGCCACATTCATGTACACACACACACACACACACACACACACAAGAAATTAATCTAAATTATTAGTAAACCTAGGAAAAGATACTCAACCCCATTGGTTATCAGCGAAACACAAATAGAAGCAAAGTCTTCATACCCACGAAGACTGCCAAAAACTTAACCCTGGGCACATCAGCTGTTGATAATAACATAGAACCAAGAAACTCTGACACAGATCTAGACAGGGCACAAATTGTAGGACTGGATCTATCTTAGAGGTAGAGCACTTGCTCAGCAAAAGTGGCAAGCATCAGATTCCTAACAGGGCCAAAAAAAACAAGTATAAATTTTTCAGAATCCCTAAAGAAAACAGGTTGGCACTAAGTAGTAAAGGTGATGTGCCTAGCAATTTCACTTTTCCATACTAAAAAAAAAAATGCCTGCATTTGGGTACCAGTTGGAAGAATGAACTCTGAAAGAGATAAAAAATCAGGAGCTGGAGAATTGTCTTAGTGGTTAAGAGCACTGGATGCTCTTGCAGAGGACCTGGATTCAATTCCCAGCACCCACATGGTGGCTAACAGTCATCCATAACTCCAGTTATATGAGAATCCAACACCCTATTCTGATCTCCATGGGTATTGCACTACACAGGTGCACGTAAATGCATGTAGGCAATACACTCATACACATAAAAAATAAAAATCAAACAATCAAATTTACTATTTAGCCAAGAATAACCTTCAACTTCTTATTCTCCTGTCTCCACCACCCAACTGCTGGGATTACATCATACACCTCAACGCCCAGTTTTAAAATATCTTTTAAAAAAGAAATACAAAATTAAAAGAACTGGAGATCTTTAAAAAATACAGAACAATGTTTTTTACTTTAACAAATTTCAATGACTAGGTGCTGTAGAGATTGCTTAGCATTTAAGACCACTGGCTGCTCTTCCAGAGGACCCAAGTTTGATTCCCAGAACCCACATGCCAGCTAAAAGTCATCAGTAACTCCAGTTCCAAGGGATCCAACAGCCTCCTCTGGCCTCCACAGGCATTGCATGCACAGGTGCACTTGCATACATGTGAACAAAACACTCTTACATGTAAAAGAAAAAAAAATTAGTGGATGTGTAACTATACAAGCATCGTGGCTGAGTGTGGTGATACAGCCTAGAGACTGAGGTGGGAGGATCACTTGAGCCCAAAACCAACCTGGGAAATAGGCCAGATCCTTTTCAACAAAGAAACAGACCATGAAGATCCATTGTTCATACCAGTAGATTACCATGGGATGTTTTAATACATTGTGCAATGTTTAAGTCAAGTTAAACATGTCTATATCTTCAAATATTTATCATATTTATGTTGAAAACATAAACTGTTCCTGGGGCCGAAGAGATGGCTCAGTGGTTAAAAGCACTAACTACTCTTGCAGAGGACCTGGTTCAGCTTTCAACACCCACATGGTAGCTCACAACCAATCATCCATGACTCCAGTTCCAGAGTATCAGATGCCTTTCCTAGCCTCCTCAGGCATTGCACACACAGGTACACTTTACATACATGCAGGCAAAACACTTATACACATTTTTTTGGTCTTTTAGAGACAGGGTCTCTCTGTAGCCCCAGCTGGCCTGGAACTCACTATGTAGACCAGGCTAGACTCAAGCTCACAGAGATCTGCCTACCTCTGCCTCCCAAGTGCTGGGATTAAAGGTGTGTGCCACCACATTCAGCTGAAATACATATTTTTTTAAACCTTTTCTTCCACTTTTTGAAATACACAGTGCACATTCTCAAGTCAACCCCATTGCACTGTCAACTTCTATGACATCGACTTTCCAAATTCCTCACTGACTGACATCCTACAGCACTTGTCTTTCTGTGTCCAGCTTATTTCACTCAGCATAATAATCTCATTTCATCTACACTGTCACAAGTGAAAGGACTTCATTCTCTTTTATCCCTGACAGTATAGCATTGTATATATGGACCACATCGTCTTCATTCATTGATGGATTCCAGTACGTTTCCTTCTCCTAACTTCTGTGAATAGTGCTGCAGTAAACAAAGAGGGCAAATGTCTTTGACATGTTGATTTCATTTGCTTTCCCTATTTTCCCAGCAGTGGACTGCCGTATTGTGGACTCATTTCAACCTTTGGGGAATCTCCACACTCCTTTCCACACTGATGATGCTACTTTACATTTACACCAATGGTGCACAAGGCTCATTTTTTTCCACATCCTCACCAGAAATTATCCTTTATCTTTCTGATAACATCCACTCTTGGTGGACTGACCTATTAGGTCACTGTGGTTTTGATTTTTATTTCCTTGGTGACTCGTGATGTCCAACATTTTTTACATGTACCTGTTAGGCATTTGTACATCTTTGGAGAGCTATTTAGTTCTATTGTTAGAACTGGAAATCATACATGCATTGGGACTCCACCTGAATCAGAGTGAATCTAGTCACACACTGCTTAATGATGGGGATGGATTCTGTGACATTCATTAGGAGATTTATTCTTACATCAGAGTCCACTAAACCAAGCCTGCTGTACCAAACCCAGCTTTATCGGATATGAGGCTAGTCAAGGGTCAAAACATCACTCTACAATGTGTAACTACTGGAGAGGGATAGTTTTGTATACAAAGAGTAAGAACCATTCTGAGAGGATGTCTGAACCAGGGGCTAAGAGTCAGCAACTTTGGTGGCATCACAGAGAATCAGAAGGCAGCAGTCTTCTGATAGGGGCTGTCAGCCACTGC